TCATTCGACCTGTGTATGAAAATCAGCAATTGAAGGATGTTGGTTATTCGTATTTTATGGATTTACTTAGGAGGTTCCTTTTTCAAGATATCCAAAGAGATGAATGGGGTGATGTAATAAGTTGCAAAATGCATGACCTTGTCCATGACCTTGTGCAATTGGTTGCCAAGGCCAAATTCTTCACGGCAAATTTGAATGTAGAAAATATTAATGAAAGAACTCATCATGTGTCACTTGTTTCTGGTATAAATTCATTCCGCTTGGTTAGAGCTAACAAGTTACAAACATTTTTTTTTTTTGAATGCTAGAAATGTCAAATTTTTCGGCAACTTTAGCTTCTGGAAGGATTCTTTCAACTTTTAAAAGGTTACGTGTATTAAATCTGCATTATGTGGGGATTGAGATTGTGCCGAGTTACACAAGCAAGCTGAAACATTTAAGATATCTTGATCTCAGTAAAAATTGTATCAAGACACTGCCAAATTTTATAACCACGTTGCAAAATTTGCAGACCTTAAAACTCAATCGGTGTTCCTGTCTTGTAGAATTTCAAAGTAATTTTGCAAAATTGGCGAGTTTTAGACATCTTGAGCTAGACAACAATGATGCCTTGATTCGCATGCCTAAAGGATTAAGTCCGTCAATGAATTGCAATGCCTAAACAATTTACGGGGAACTTTCTTCTCTCCAATGTCTTAGTGTTTGTGAGATGGAATCCCTAAACTACATAGACAACAGTACTGAAGAGAATCAACACCAACATCAATTTTAATATGTAGTATATATATTAATATCAAATAATAATTAATTATGTTTATTTAAAAATTATATTTATTACCTTTTTAAGATGCAAAGTTACTAATTATATTCTTGTATTCAAGTTTTATTAAAGTTTTGTTTTTTCAGTATATATTATAACCGGTCCAATATATATATATATATATATATATATACACACTCAATAATAAAAAATAAAAAACTTGGAATGAGGGGGACGAGAAAAAAAAAAAGGTTAAACAACGATAGAAAATAGAAGTTCATTCTTTGGGCCTACTACGAATTAATTATTATTATTATTATTATTATTATTATTATTATTATTTTATTTTTATTTTTATTTTTTTTTGGAGATAATAATAGAAGGAACTTAAAAAAAAAAAAATAGAACCTTCTACTATTAGTTGGGGTATATTAATTGAAGGAAATAAAAAATATTAAAAGGTAATAATAAATTATTTTTTATGATGCAAAGTTACTAATTATATTCTTGTACTCAAGTTTAGGGGTGGCAATTTTTACCGCCCCGCTGGGACTCCGCCCCGTCCCGTCCCGTCAATAACAAGATATGGTTACAAATATTATAACGTCGGGGCAGGTATGGATACAATTTTTGTACCCGCCGCGGGTCGCGGGGCAGGGAAGGGTTCTGATTTACACCCGCCCCGCCCACCCCGCTAAACATATTATATATATATATATATATATATATATATATATATATTATAATATTAATAATTTATGTTTAATATATAATATAATATATAATATTAATAATTTATGTTGTACAACAACTAACCCTAATATATATACTCCTGATACCACAATTCACAAAGAGTCGAGCGGCGCATCAAGGCAAAAAGCGAAAAACCAAACCCTCAAGGCCCTCGATCCATCTCTCCCTCACCGGTCACCAAAGGTCCAAAACCTTACCAGACACCATTTATCACGCCCTTCAGGACCTTCAGGTAGAGAGATCCACCGTCCACGCACTTACACAGGCTTTGCTTCTCTTTATTAGGTAGTCTGTCCTTCTCTCTCTCTCTCTCGTGACTTGTGTTGTTTCTTCAAACTCTAATGTTATTTCGTTGATATCATGGATGAATCATATGGTAATGTCTCTATTTTTGTGGTTCTGATATTATAATTGTATTTTTAGGGTTTTTGATTTCTGTAAATCTTTGTATTTTTGCTTTATCTGATGGTTGATGTAGTCTATGATTTAAGTTATTAACTGTGATGCTTATGTTTTATAAATTTCTGATACACACAGTTGCTAATCACAGATTATGTGCCCATTCTCAGTCATTTCTCTCTCTCTCTCTTTAAAATGGTCTGGCTGCTATGCAAATGATTCCTTTGTTCATAATTTTCATCAATTTGTTAATCATTTTTTTATGTATTAAATGATTCCTTTGTTCATAATTTTCAGGTTTTGATTAATTCATGAACACTCTTGAAGACATGGGGAGATTACAGATGCCAGATAGATCATTTAAGGGATTTAAATCAGCTTTTGTGTTTTTGTTATCTTTTGTTAATTTCAGACTTTAATTTTGGATAATTTGGGATGTAATTTTGTATTAAACTTGCTTTTGTTTTGGTTATGGTGGAATGTTGGAGGTTATAACTTCTAGTAATTTGGTTGTATTAAATCCTTATTTTTGTTATGTTATCTGAATTATGCTACTTGCATGTTATTTAATTATTTTTGTTGGGATTCATATATGTTATGCGCCATTCCTCGGCTTTTTACAGTAGAACAACATCTTAGGTCCAAAAAGATAGATCATTTAAGGGATTTAAATCAGCTTTTGTGTTTTTGTTATCTTTTGTTAATTTCAGACTTTAATTTTGGATAATTTGGGATGTAATTTTGAATTAAACTTGCTTTTGTTTTGGTTATGGTGGAATGTTGGAGGTTATAACTTCTAGTAATTTGGTTGTATTAAATCCTTATTTTTGTTGTTTATGTTATGGCTTTTTACAGTAGAATAACATCTTAGGTCCAAAAAGTGGAAGGGAAAATTTTTGGGGCGGGGCGGGGCGGGGCGGGGCGGGGTGGGGCATGTCATTCCTCAATGGGACGGGGATGGATATGAAAATCCAACTCATCGCGGGGCATAGGGCGGGTATGGAGTTGCCAATAATTAAACGGGGCGGGGATGGATTTTGGTAAACCCACTCCAAACCCGGCCGTTGCCATCCCTACTCAAGTTTTGCTGAAAGTTTTATTTTTTCAATATATAATATAACCTGTCCAAATGATATACACTCATTAATTAAAAATAAAAGAGTAAATAAAAAACTTCGAATGAGGGAAACGAGTTAAAAAAAAAAAAAGGTTAAATAAAGATAGTAAATAGAAGTTAATTCTTTGGGGCTACTAAGGAAATAATTTTTTTAAAAAAAATTGGAGCCTTATACGGTTGGTTGAGCTATAATAATAGAATAAAATAAAAAAAAATTCAAAAGGTAATAATATAAGAAAATATATTTTTTTAAAAGTGAGAGTAAATATAAGGGAATAAAAACTTTGGAGGCTATTGGTTGGGAGTCTAATAATATTAAAAAACAATAAAAATTTAGGATGGCAATAATACATAATGTAACAAAAACTTTGATGGCTAAAAATGTGTGTATATTACTTTTTAAAATTCTCTTTAATTATTTATTTTACTCTTTCTCTCTTTAAATTCCTTTAATTTCCTTAAAAAAAAAAATTTTTCCTTCTTCTCTAATTCTTTTTCTTTCAAAAGTCATGTCAATTTTTTTTATTTTTTATTTTTTTATTTATTTTTTCTTCCTTCTATTACTTAAAATTCTTCTTATTCTTCTTTTCTTTGTATATTATTATTATTATTATTATTCTGCATTATGCCCCTAAATTGAAATCCCGACTCAGCCCCTTGTTAGAGGAAGAAAAACAAGAATCCTCTCAATGCAACCTCCTGTCCTGAGTTCATATAAACATGTAAGAAAAATCGGGAAGAAAAAAAAGGCTTCAAGAGTAAAACTACTACTGGGGCATTCTAAAAAACATTTTCGAAGAAACCAAACAGGTTATTGTTTGCACATTCTGTAACTCAACAATAATTGATATGTAAATTAATTAATAGAGTATCTGAAATCCACTGATTCAGAGGAAATATTTTCTTGGTAAAACCACATAGTGAAATTTTTTTGGCTTAATATAACCATGTAAAGAAACATTTTATTTTATTTTTTTTTATCCCAAATTGCTCAGGTAAAGGTGTGAACGGTGTGAACAGAAAAGGTAATGATGTACAAGTGAATTTAGCTAATTAATAAGTTGAAGGTTCAAATTCTCGTCAATTCGGGGTCAAGTAAGTTTGATTCAAAGAAAATTTGTTGATTCTAAAGAAATAAAGAAATAAAAATTTCAAAATGAGATAGTAAGAATATCTCCAGCAGTCAGTGTCGTTAAGATATGTCATCAATCTGTAACAAAACCTTTTTATACAGTCACATTAACATATTTCCTTTCTCCTCACTCTTTCTCATTCCATTAAAGAATCAAACCTATATTGAGTAGATTTGTAAAAGTTATGTGCGTCATGACATGTAAAAGTTATGTGGGTCCTGACATAATACTTGATTGGTTATTATTAGACGATATATTTTTACACAAAAGGTATAAAACAGCTATTGGAACTAAAAATAAATAATCCAAATTTTTTTGTATAAATCTATTATCATATATTAGATTTACAAATATATATATATATAGACACACACACACACACAACAATTGTAGATGCTCTAATATAAGTAACAAGGGAATAAAAACTTTGGGGGCTATTTAAGGTAATAAAAATTTAGTAAGGCAATAATATATAAGGTAATAAAAAATTTTTGGGCTGAGACGTAGCTAACTCTAAATTTTTTTTTTTGAAATTTTAATTGGTAAAAAACGGACCGCATGAAAGAGGAAAAAAATTCTTGGATTTGAAATTTTAATTGGTATAAAATTTTTATATATAAGGTAATAAAATTTTTTTGAACTTGAAATTTTAATTGGTAAAAAAGGGACTGCAATGTAAGGATTTTAATCCCTTTTTTACCAATTAAAATTTCAAATCCTTACATTGCTATACGGGAGAAAAAAATAAAAATACCCGAGAAAAAAAAGAAGAAAAAAGACTTTGGCATACTATATATAATCCTTAATTAAACCCAAGTAGGCCGAGGGAGGAAAGACAATGGAGATGATAGAAAGAAGAGAAGAGTACTCATCATTCATCAAGTCCCTACCCAATGACGTCGTCATGGACATACTCTCACGGCTACCTGTCAAGGTCCTTGGACGTTTTGAGCGTGTATCAAAGTCTTGGCTCACTTTGCTCACTGATCCATATTTTGCAAAGATGCAACTAAATCGATCCTACAAGTGCAACAAAAACAAAAGCAAAAACAAAAAACAATTTGGTTTTTTCCCGTGTCTCTGACCATCGTTGTATTTTCAGGCGAAATTGTTGACCCAGTGTGGCCGAGTGGAGAAGTTGATTATCCGCCACTTCATTTTGTGTGTCAATGGGGCAGGTTATTGGGTTGTTGCGACGGATTGATATTATAGTCAACTTATTCCTACACTTCTGCAGAAAAGCAACTTCATCTGGTGAATCCTTCAACTAGAAAAGTCAAAAGATTACACCCACCATTCAAATGTGAACCAGATGGTGGTTCGTATGGGTTTGGCTACGATGCCTTAACTGATGACTATAAGGTTGTGCACATCCCAAATTATGTTGGAAAAACATGTCTAACCACTTTATTTACACGAAAACCAAATTGCTGGAGGAGAATTCAAGACATCCCGTACCATGTTACGTGCTCTGCACCTGCGGCACTCCTGAATGGTGCTCTCCATTGGTTAACTAAGGACATGACTAAGATAGTTTCTCTTAATTTAGGGGACGAAAAGTTTCAAGTTTTTATTCTACCAGAATTTGGAATAAACGAAGAAGCTTACTTAGTTACGGTTGTCGGAGGATGTCATTGTGTCTGTGTCACTATTAGGGAATTTAGGGGGGAGTGGAAGCGCTCTTCTGAATTTTGGGTGATGAAGGAATATGGCAAGAAAGAGTCTTGGACTAATCTCGGCTTTGCCATTCCAAAGTGCCAAGTGAAGCCTTTGGATTTCTCAAACAAAATAATGATAATCTTCTATCTCTGGTAGATTCTTCCTTACTTCTATCTAATGTAGAGAGAAATGAACATTATTTTGTAGAAATTTGCTATAATTCTCCTCACCTGGTCCGTACCCTTGGTCTCCCTAAATCTTATTATGTTCGTAAATCGTGGACTATTTTTACTCCTATTAAAGTTGACGATGCAGAGAATTTTTCGGAGAGCATTATTTCACCAGTCATCATACCTGAGTAATTTGGAGGCAATAACAAGGACTGAAAAAGTGTGACAGCAAGAGATAAGAAGGCTATATATCTTGGATCTTGTTACTGACAAAAAGATCAAATTCAAATTTGAAGTTTGTTATACTATTTTCATAATTTTGTTGCGTCTTTATATATATATATATATATATATATATTTAATGCAATTTCTAACGAACGTCTGTTCCAGCAAAATTCTAAATTTGGCACGCATCAATCAGTTTTGGTATATAGTTTTATCGTCTAACCACATCACATTAATATTAATGCAGCTTGTTGACGATGAGGATGAGCCTTATAAAGTGCTTTTTCTGGGTTTTCAGGAGGGTCATTAATGGAACTATATATACACGTGTGTGTGTGTGTATATATATATATATATATGCATGATATATACATGAACATACTCTGGTTCATGTATCTCAGTCTCCCATTGCTTGAAGGCAAGATGGATCAAAGCTTTATTCCACACTGTAGATGATTGCTCTACGTCACATGCCACCTATCATTTTAATATTATTAATAATAGGCCACATTTGCATACTGTAAAGAGTCTGTACGTACACCAGAGCTCTACCTTTTTGGCCTCACGAGGGAGGCCTCACTCTAGTCGAATGGGCTTTTTTTTACGCGCTTACACTGTTTAGAGGAGGGGGTTGCTACCCTTCACTCTCCTGCTGTTATGGAAGTATCACGCTCCGATTGGATGGGTATCACTATGCACCATCTCTGAGGCTTCCTCCCTATGGATAGGACTTATATCTAGATCATCTATGACGTCCACCCCGAGCTCCCTTGCATAGGAGCTCGAGTGCTTCAAACTTAACCATTCATCTAGAGCTTCCCCTGCATAGGAGCTCGAGGCTTAAAGGAAGTGTACAGGAGCTCGGGACCAAAGAAGGCAAGTCCCAAGCAATTCCCTTATCTCCTCCTACTTTGCGGAAATCTGAATATCGGTGGCTGAGTTCTAAGGATTCGCCTCACCTCGAGGTTTACACAAGGGGAATACCCAATAATTGAGTTCAAGTAGTAGAGACCATATAATACGTTAAATATATATCTCACAGAAAGACCATTGGATTAGGAAGGAGCTACCTTCCTTACCTAGGTAAAGGTACCATTGGATAAAGAGGGAGTTGGCTCTTATGACCAAGTGTCCTTACCCAAATGAAAGTAGTATAATTAGGTTTTCTTTTATTAAAAAACTTATAATAAAATTTCTTTAATTATGAAAATTGAAATTTTTTGAACTTTGTACCTCATTGTATATATATTTTTTAATTCAACCAAAGTGAAAAATAAATTTTTAAAATTGACTCATTTATACTTTTATGTAAGAAGTATAAATTGGTCATGTATTAAATTATGGGAATAATTTATAAATAATCATATTAATTTTTTTAAAAGGAATTCAATTATTAAATTTTTAATAGGAATTATTGTTGCATTCTCAATGCTAGTTATAAAGACACCAATTATAAAGAGAAAAAATATGCACATCACAAGCCTGATCCAATATATATATATATATATATATATATATATATATATATGTATATATATATATGTATATATAGGTTATATTTGATAGAGTTTTTTTGAAAATAAGATAGGTAATTTGTGGTAGAGTTTTATAAAAATTAATTTTCTTTAAATATTTCCTTATCTAATTAGATTTCCTTTTATTAAAAAACTCATAATTTCACACCTTATTTTTATTTATTTATTAAAAAACTCATAATAAATTATAGAAACTCTTATTATTATTATTTTCTTTAAATATCTCCTTGTCTAATTAGATTTTATTCATTAAAAAACTTATATAAAACTCATAATAAATAGGTAATTTGAGTTTTATAGAAACTCTTATTATTTTTATTTTCTTTAAATATTTCCTCATAATAAATAGGTAATTTGAGTTTTATAGAAACTTTTATTATTTTTTTCTTTCTGTAAATATGTGTTAAAGTTTTATAGAAACTCTTATTTTTATTTTCTTTAAATATTTCCTCATAATAAATAGGTAATTTGAGTTTTATAGAAACTCGTTTTTATTTTTTTAAAATATTTCCTTGACAAAAATAAAAAATCATAATAAATAGATAAATAGATAATTTGTGTTAAAGTTTTATAGAAACTTTTTTAAAAACTCTTTTTATAGTAATTAATAAATATATTTTTATATAAATAAATAAGTACTGAAATAATGAAACTCTTTATGTTTGCAAGAATGAAATGGAATGGAATGGAATAGCCATTCTCATTCTATTATTTGGTTGTAAATATGAAATGTGTAGGAATGGAATTTTAATAGCCATCCTAGTGCTTGGTTAAACCAATTTAAAATTTAGAATGGAATAAATTTTAAATTGAATTCTTCAAAATATCCCTCTTAGTAACAAATAAATTAAATTGACAAAATCACATTCTCTAAAAAATGGTGGCAGTGGCGGGTGTGGTGATGATGGTGGTGGAGGTGGAAAATGGTAGTGATGTAGGTGGTGGTGTTGGAAAGCGGCGATGGTGGCAATGGTGGAAGGCGGCGGCGGCGATGACAATAGTGGTGGAATGTGACAGTAGTGTTAGTGGAAGGCGGTGGCAGTAGTGTGGTGGTGGTGGTGGAAGGAGATAGTGGTGTAGGTGGTGGTGGTGGAAGCTAATGAAAGTGATTGTAGTGGTGGTGGAAGGTAGTGGAGGTCGCGGTGGCAATGGTGGAAGCTGGTGGCGGTGGTGGTGATGGAAGGCGATGGTGGCGGTGGTGGTGGATGGTGGTGAATGGAATAAATTTAAAATTGAATTCTCCAAATTATCCCTCTTAATAACAAATAAATTAAATTAACAAAATGACATTCTCTAAAAAAATTTTAAAAAAAATGGTGGCAGTGGCGGTGGTGATGATGGTGGTGGAGGTGGAAAGTGTTAGTGGTGTAATGGTGTGTTAGAAAGCGGTGGTGGTGGTGAAAGGAGATAGTAGTGAATGTGGTAGTGGTGGAAACCAATGGAGGTGACGTGGTGGTGGTGGAAGGCAATGGAGGTTGCGGTGGTGGTGGTGGAAGGCGGTGGCGATGGTGGTGACAGTGGTGTAAGACGGTGGTGTAAGGCGGTGGCAGTGGCGGTGGAAGGCGGTGGCGATGGAAGGCAGTGGCAATGGTGAAAGGCGGTGGTGGAAAGCGGTAGTGGTGATGAAAGGCGGTGGCGGTGGTGGTGACAGGCGGTGGCGGTGGAGGTGGTGGTGGTGTTGGAAGGCGGTAGCGATTGTGGTGAAAGGTGGTGGCAGTGGCGAAAGGCAATGGAGGTGGTGGTGGTAGCGGTGCCGATGGTGGTGGTGGAAAGCGATAGGCAATGGTGAAAGTTGGTGGCGCCGGTGGAAGGCGGCGGCAGTGGTGGTGCTAGTGAAAGGCGAAAGTGGTTGTGGTGGAAGGTAATTGTTATTTTTGGACTTAGAACACGAGAGTTTTTTGGGAAGTTGATTTTTTTAAAAAAAAATACTTAGAATGGAATGGTCATTCCATATGTTTAGTTGTGGAATAGATTTTCATTCCTAGGAATAGATTTTCATTCACAGGAATAAATTTTCATTCCAATGGAATTCTCAGAAATGAATTTTCATTCTAATGGAATGGCCATTCCCACTTTAGATTGCATACCAAACAAAGAAATGATTGGAATGGGCATTCCATTCCATTCTTGCACACCAAACGCATCATTACACTTTTAATATTAAATAGGTATTTGAGTTTGATAGAAACTCTTATTATTTTTATTTTTTTTAAATATTTCCTCATAATAAATAGGTAATTTGTATTATTTTTATTTTCTTTAAATATGTGTTATGAGTTTTATAGAAACTTTTATTTTTATTTTCTTTAAATATTTTATCATAATAAATAGGTAATTTGAGTTTTATAGAAACTCACATTATTTTTATTTTCTTTAAATATTTCCTTGTCTAAATAGATTTTATTTATTAAAAAACTCATAATATCTAAGTACCTTATTTCCTTCTATTAAAAAACTCATAATAAATAGGTAATTTGAGAAACTCTTCTAAACACCTTTTATTAATTAAATAAAAAAACTCACAATAAATAGATAAATAGGTAATTTGTGTTAGAGTTTTATAGAAACTCTTTAAAAACTCTTTTATATTAATTAATTAATAAATATATATTTTTTATATTAATAAATAAATACTGAAACTCTTTACACTTTTAATAGTAGTATAGAAACTCTTATTATTTTTATTTTCTTTAAATGTTTCCTTGTCTAATCAAATTTTATTTATTAAAAAACTCATAATATCTAAGCACCTTATTTCCTTCTATTAAAATGTTCATAATAAATAGGTAATTTGAGAAACTCTTCTAAACACCTCATATTAATTAAAAAAAAAAACTCATAATAAATAGCTAATTTATGAGTTTTATAGAAACTCTTTTAAAACATTTTTTTATTTCAATTAATAAATATTTTTTATATTAATAAATAAATACTAAAACTCTTTACACTTTTAATAATAGTATAGAGGAGGGAGAATAAAAAATAAAAAAAATTAATAAAATGAAAATTATTTAGAGAGAAAGAGACATTAGAGAGGAGAGAGAAAATATCTCTATTATATAAAATGAAATAATTAAATATATAGAAAATGAAAGAAAAATGAGTAAGGTGTATTTTGGTAGTGCAAAGGTAGTATATGTATTGTTGATGATGGATTCTGCACAATCCGGATCTGATCTAGCTTCCTGAACAAAGAAAAGAAAATGTGATCCTATAAACATCGGTG